ATATAATAAAAAAAAACCCCCATAAATATCCAATATAAACATCAAAAATCAAAAGAATAGCAATCCGAACGAAAATTGAAAAATAATAATAATAACACGTACAATAATTTTAAAGGAAAAAAAACCAAAAATACAACTACTATCCTGAAATCCGACCCAAAATAACATTAGCACCGTCATCTTCGCTTGCATGAATAACTTCATCAACAATTTCCGTCAAAGATGCCTATTATAAACACACAAAACAAACATTTCTTAAGGAAAAAAATACAAAAATATGTAAAATACAAAAATTTAATTAAATAAAACCTATATACTCATACCTATGAAAAAGTTTGTGAATTTCTCCACAGTATACGATTTCTTAAAACCAATATATGATTTCTCTAGAGTATACGATTTCTTAAAAAACTTTTAAAAGCATATATTTTCTCACCAAATCCTCCAAAGAACCAGGCAAAACAGTAGGATCCTGGTAACAATACATGATTTTTAGTTAAGAAAAATTAAATCAATAAGACCACCAGGAGATGACTGAACATGTCCTTGGTCTTGATTTTTAATACCTTCTATCCAAAAATATTTTGAGTGAAAACAATTCTTTAGATTCTACTCTGTGCTTCGAGCATTACCAATTATGTAGTGATATGGTAAGTGTATTTGGTTATCTAAACATGAGATAAATTGGAGGTCAAAATCAGTGATGAATGGATTGTATGATCCGCTATTAGTAGATTTTATGTCACCATTGTATCATAAGACGATGATTATATGTAATTTAGATTTGAAAGTATTTTGGACGTGAACATGTCTCTGCATAATTCGTGTATTCATAATGTTTATAAAATTAATTCGTGCAAAATCTACTACAATTATGTAACAAAAAAGARAAAATAATGAAAAAATGAGAAAACGATGATTTGATTTACAATCAAACAAATAAGAAAGTAYATATATAGGAATCGAGRAAGAATTAGATAAGGAYGAAAATTTACTTGATATATTCAAATTTGATATTTCTATATACATAATGAAAAGTATAAACTAATCATCTG